CTATTCAATCCGTATTTCAGCGCAGTAACTCAGTCAGCTTATCTGCATTTGTAATAAATGAAAACATTTCTTTAATGAAAGAAGACACAATTATGTATCGCTTTTGATAAAGCATGTATTGAATGTTGTTAAAAATAATCTTCGACTTATTCCAGGGATTTCTACTGTCACACGTCGCTTTTATGCCCTCGTGCATGTAAGCGAGGAATTTAGACATTATGGAGGTGGATAGACCAGAGACAACTTGACAGTGGTAAACCTTTGACTCGGAGAGACTGACGATGATCGAAACCAGGCTCGTATGTATCGAGTATGGAGGAGGAAAAGATCACGTTGAAAATTTTGAAATATGTCTACTTTATTTTGTTATCTTACTTTGCTATACTTTTATCAATTTTTTCGTTGCTTAAACCCGATGATTCAAATAGTGTTCTCTGGGCAGTGAAGGAGATCGCTGTATAGAAAATAAATCCTGACAGTGTCTTGCTCGTATTTTGGTCTTTGTTATAACCTCATGAGCATTTAAAATAAGGCATTGTTCAACTGTGACTTTCCTCTTCACAAAGTCCTCCTGAGTACAATGAGACCTATTAATATTTTTGGCAAAAACAAATAAATTTCAAAGTTTCAATTTTCCGTTTCACCGCAGGATAGGTCGTGTACTGTGGACTACAAGCAACGCCTGTCAGAAAATCGATCCTTTCCTCATGCAGGCAAAAAAGCAGTGCATATAATGTAGGCATATGTTTGCAGAGAATCGTGCTCAGGTGGATGTGTTGCACACTCTGGAAATTTGGTGTATGCTAACACCGAGTTACTACCTCCCCTCTCTTCATCTCCCAACTCATTTCAAATCATAGAAGGGCGACTAACCGTAGCTCGTGTCTCAAACACTCAAGGCTACACTAAAATTCTAGTCGATGAATGTAATATTTTATTTTCGTCCTCTTGCCTATAAAAACGCCTCATTTCACACCACAAATGAGTCTTCAGCACGCTTTGCGACTCCCTCTCTCGAGCACCTGCAGCTCAAGTTCTTCCGTAAAAATTCGAGCTTCTCCACCTACACCTCAATTTCCCGCAATCTTCGCCCTACTTCTCAAAAAAGATTGAGAGTCGGTGGCTTTCTGACCGACCCATGCTTCGCTTTAGATGTCGATTCACCGCTGCGATGGACATCAGAGGAAGGGGAATTACGGGTAAATGGTCATCCATTCCATCTCAAAGGCATCAACTGGTTTGGATTTGAAACTCCCTCTTTCTATCCACATGGTCTTTGGGGCGCTACTTCTTTAAATCGCGTGTTTAATTTCCTTCGTGATAATAGCTTTAATGTTATACGCCTGCCATTCTCTGCAGAAATGGCTTTAAACGATGGTCAGGTTGTGACGGTGCCTGGCGAGCCAGTGCTGGACAAATTGACAAATATGGAGCGACTGGCCAAATTTGTAGATGTTGCAGCGGAATATAATTTACTCGTAATGCTTGACATGCACCGCTTGAATGCGAGTGGCGGGATCGACGAGCTATGGTATAATAACGACTTTCCCTATACCCGCGTCCTGGCAGCATTGGGCAAAATCATGGAAAGCCTAGAGCGCAAGTGGAACTTTTTTGCAATTGATGTTAAAAATGAACCACATGGAGCCGCGACCTGGGGTGCAGGAAACCCCAGCACGGACTGGAATCAAGCTGCTCAATCCATAATCAAAGAGCTCTTCAAACGCTTCCCACAATGGCATGGACTAGCTTTTGTCGAGGGCGTCAACAACCCTACCGTAAAGTCTCGTATTCTGGATCCCAATGAGCGATGGTGGGGTGGGAGCTTGGAAGGAGTATGGGACGCCCCCATCGATCTGGGATGTTCCGAGTGGACACGCCGGGTGGTCTATTCCCCGCATGTATACGGCCCCGACGTGTATGACCAGCTGTATTTCCGTAATGGTTACAATGCTGCCGATAAGCAACATTTTTGGAGCGAAGACATTTCTCGAAATTTGTCACGCATCTGGGACGCTCATTTTGGTTTTGCAGAAAAGGTTCACGATCGGCAAGCAGTGGTGGTAGGAGAATGGGGGGGAAGGTATGGGGATGGACCTACTAAATTGCGCGATCGGGCCTGGGGAGATACGTTCGGTGGATACCTGCTTGAGAGCTGCCTCTCGGACAATTTTTACTGGAGTCTCAACCCTAACTCAGGAGATACCGGGGGTATCCTGGAGGACGACTGGTCAACGCCAGTGCAACCCAAACTGGACTTGCTAAAGCGGATTCAGCCTCACCCTTCCTTGCTGTATCTGAGTGAAACAGATCGAGTGATTTGTTTTTCAAGAGGCCAATATGCCAATCCTACATGTCAAAAAATACAAGAAACACCGTAGGGTAGAGCATCTTGGACAGCTGTGGATAAATCAGTGTATTAGGACGACACTGCTTACATGAAAGAATGGAAATTGACAGAATAAATAGCAAGTTTGGTCTATCCTTTTCTTTTTTACAAAAAATTGAAAAGTATTCGATCAGCTGTAACGAGGATAAAGGTAGTCCGCATTCCACTTTCGTGGGAAAGCCAACGATGGATTGGGCATGAAATTTTGAAAGATCTTCTGTTGATTTCGTTGCTATCTGCCTTGTTCAAAACCCGAGACTTTTCCTGCTTGTATCATGTCCATATCCTCCGTGCATTGCTGCGTCAAAGAATTTGAGAGCGGAGCTGGTGCGGCCTTCAATCTCTTCTTCGACACGTCCTGCACGCTCCCCTTCTCATGCATTACACGCTGGGTTCGCCGAGCTGCCCGAAACAAACCGCCAGCCCTCTCCGTTGGGAAGCAACAGGGACGGGTGTGGATGCACTCGCGCCATCAATGCTAACTTTCCCTCATTCGCGGTCTCCCCGGCAAGCAAACCGCCCGTCTCATTGGGATTGAGGGCCCAGTAGATAGTGTCGTCCAAACATCGATCGATGAAGTACTCGGCCACCGCTTTTTGCCACATAGCGTCTCCTTGCTGCGCGTCATTCAGGGAACCCCCCCACTTTCCCACAACCACCGCGCGGCCTGTGGCTTCCTCCACGCCGCCAAAGAGCTCGTCATAAGTTGCGTACATCTGGTCCGGGAAAGAGGTGGAGTAGGCATAGCTCATAGTAGGGGAGACAGAGGGTCCCAAGAGTGACACCTGGTAGACGACCCGCTGCGTGTTCTCGGAAGTAAAGAGATCCAATGGGTGCACCAGGGCGCCCCGAAGGTCCGTGGCATACTTGGCGGCGAAGTCTCCGCCTTCGATCCCTTGTACGAACCAGAGGCCCTGATACTGAGGATATTCCTGGATCAAGACCGCAGCCGTGTCTTGAGCTGCTAGGTTCCAGTCTGTGCTCGAATTATGGACACCCCATTCCGCGCGACCTCGACCCGGACGATCGAGCAAGTCAATTCCCAGCAGATTCCAGCGTTGGCCATAACGACGCAAAAGCCGCCGCCATGTGTCCTGAAATTCATGGTATGAAAACATTGTACCGTACCACAAGCCCTCATTGTGGGCGCCGGAAAGGGGCGTGACATCATCGTTGCACAGTGCCAGCACGACTAAAATGCCTCGCGCGGCCGCCCGCTCAAAAATGGTATCAAGAAGCTGGCCCACATTCATCCCACGCAGAGAATTGTCACCTCGTACTGAGGAGGTAGGGATCTCCAGCGTCAAATTGTTAGCGGCGATAGAAGCCACAGGAAGGCGCAGAACATTGAACTGATTTAACGCGAGGAAGTCTAGGACGTCGTTGAGCGGCCAAGTCCATAAGCCGTGAGGCGCACGTGTGTCGGCGCAATCCAGACCAAACCAATTTGCTCCTTTTACATGAAATTGATGACGCCTATTGAGAAGGATGGCACCTTCCGCTGTACTCCAGGTCAAATCATGCAGATAAAGAGAGGCGGTCGTAGGCCTGCCTCGACGCATATTCGAAGCGGATAATGAAGAGGAAGTTTGCGCCGCAATGATGAGCAAGAGTCTTGAAAATGCGGTAACTACATTTCTCCTCATCATAAATTGGCACGTATATGCCATAGCACGTATTGTGTTCAATGTATTTCGCGTCAGGCACGCTACGTCCAGAGATACATGTAGCGAAAAAGGAATTATCGATGAGAATGCTACGGACGCAATTGTAGTTTTGTCCAAATTCCTGAAAAGTAAGAACGGTTCCAATTTATCCCGTCCATGCTCATTGCAATTTGTTATTGTATTTTTTAGGTCATTAGCGGCTCGAATGTTTGTTGACAGGAATGGAAGGTACGGCATGTATGTGAGCAGCTCGAAAAAAGAAAAACGAAAGAAACGGTGACGTACCACCTTCAATGAGAGGTCTTTAATACCCGTTAACAAGTAATCATCACCACACACTGACAATAGGGGTCCTATCGAGATGTCAGCCAAGAAATTAGGTGCTAGGAAAACAGTGATGCTCCTTAGCTCGGCAGTGCCTTTTTTCCTATCTCGATTGCAAGTCGTTTCCCCCTTCCCACACCAATCCCTGCGACTCCTCCATGACTCAAGCCTACGCGGGGATGACTTCAATTGTGCCGCGCGCCGGAGGCCAGTGCCTGCTTTCACTTCATCTACACTGTTTTCATCGTCTCCCAACTGTCAAGCCCCCGCCATTCAGTTCGCTTCTGACAGACCAGGCGTCCGGACGCACCTTCAGCCTGCTGTTGCTGCTTTGATAGAGAGGTAAGCCCTCCTTTTAAGGAAACTCGGGTATACAGGGCTTAAATCAGTTAAAAACAAGATGATGAAATGACATGAAAAGGTTGCTGACTGATTAAAGACCAAGAAATTATTTGTTGCGTATTTCTTTGACCACATAATGCAGATATGACGGGAGGTTGATATCGTTGGGAGAAGGACATCTTTCCCCTCCGTCGCCATGGACTCAAATACCTAGAGTGACAACTTTGAATATTCTAAAACATCTGATAAACGACATCCATGGGATATAATTATTTTCAAGGCAAAGGAATGGCGGGAAAAGAGAAATGGAGCGTCTGGTGGAGAGCATTCGAGGGACAGAGCTCGCGGCTCTCCTGGTAAGTGAATGAAGACAGGGAGGACACCGTAAAAAAATGAGAAATGCCTTTGTTATAACTGTAGGTTAGCAGTATGTTTCAGTTACTGGCATCATTGCATCCAACGTCCTCTTCGGCCTTTGGGACAGGAGGAGGTCGTGTTGTCGGAGCATCCTTTCCTCCAGGAGGCTGAGAAGGGGGAAGGGGCAGGAACGGAAGGGATTAAAGATGAATCAGAGGGTGGAAGAAGATCGGCCCGACAAGGACCCCGCCGTCCTCTGTACATTCCTCTGGTGGAGGATGAGGAGGGAGAGTACCGGATCGCGGTAGGGA